CAAGCATTACGTTTTTTAAGCATTTCATCCAATTACTTTCTAAGAACTTCGATTATTGAGTGTTTGTAGTGGCTTTGATCTCCAGTTATGAAATCATAATCGGCTGAAAGGCGTTGTTCAAAGATAAACAAGTAAGAATATATTAGGCTACGCAAGCTTTGTTAAGCTGAGTTAATAAGAAAGTTTAGTTTATGGATTAGTGAGAAACATACTAAACAGATTTCTTAATTGTGTTGAACCTTCGTGGATATTTAGACCTATATTTAGTGAACCTGCATTATGATTATCGTGTCATAAAACTATAGTGTTTTCGAAAATCCTGAAGCCAAGTCGATTTTACTCCATTCTGTAAGCTTTTGAGTATCTGCAAATTACACATAGACGGGTGTTTATTTTATTAATCTGTTTTATGTATTCGAAGAGTACCGCTATTTATCGGTGATGCATCTCGATATTTCAAAGGTCAGAAAATATATTCGTTGTAGCTTTACCAGGACTGTTGTACAAAAACTAAAGTGTTAAATATCAATGGAATATTAACGTGGAGACCTGAAATATACTACAAGACCTACACCCATTTCTTCTTCGTTTTCTTTGTATAAGGCTACAAAGTTATTTTAACCCCTGTAACTTATGTTAGTATATTAGGGGGTGACTGCCTTCCCACAACTGGCTGCAGACAGCAAAAGGCAATAGAAGATGAAACGTTTGGGGTCAAAGCATTCCTAACCCCTGCTTTGACCTTTCATAACGACTAACTAGTTTGTATTTTGATAGTGTCTGATAGATGGAAGATCTCTACCGCCTATGGATGCTATGACCACAGACATTTTCCGTTATGAGTTGAAGGATAATTACAGAAGCTGGCACTGATAAGCTTTCTTTTATTTTCATGTTTTTGTTAGCTTTATAATACACATCTTGTTTTGGTTTATATATATATATATAGATAATGTTGTCTTGGTTTCTTTACTTCATGAATGAGGCATTCATTATTCCATGACGTAAATATACTAGTTTAGATCATATCTTTCAGATCTCTAAGAACTTCTGTTTGAAAAGATTCCATAAAAACAGATCATGACGTTTTGAGACAGGTGAAATAATTTATAGACACTATATGTTTAGCGAAAAATACAACCACCTAATCATATTACATTTTCATATGCAATAATATTAATTGTGTCTAGTGGAAACACCTGATGTATTGTTGAGAAAACATCAAAAGGTTTTCATTAAATAATGTTAAACAACACCTGTTTTAGGTGGAAAGATTTAAGGTAAATATTGTTAAACAACACCTGTGTTAGGTGGAAGGATTTAAGTTAAATAATGTTAAACAACATATGTGTTAGGTGGGAGGATCTAAGTTAAATAATGTTCAACAACACCTGTGTTAGGAGGAAGGATTTAAATTAAATAATGTTAACAACACCTGTGTTAGGAGGAAGGATTTAAGTTAAATAATATTAAACAACACCTGTGTTAGGAGAAAGGATCTAAGTTAAATGATGTTAAACAACACCTGTGTTAGGTGGAAGGATTTAAGTTAAATAATGTTAACAACACCTGTGTTAGGAGGAAGGATTTAAGTTAAATAATATTAAACAACACCCGTGTTAGGAGAAAGGATCTAAGTTAAATGATGTTAAACAACACCTGTGTTTGGTGGAAGGATTTAAGTTAAATAATGTTAAACAACATCTGTGTTAGGTGGAAGAATTTTGGTTAAATAATGTTCAACAATACCTGTGTTTGGAGGAAGGATTTAAATTTGTTTTTCATTGCAATGTCTGTTGATAGCGATCGTATGTTAGTGAATTTCAATTTTTTCATACAGAGATTCAGTACGCTATATCAAAACGAATTTGGCGGCTCACCTTGTCGTTATAGTTAATGTTGCCACGTCCGATCACGATGTATCTCACAGCCGTGAAACTAGACCAGGGGTCGGCAACCCTTCAAAGAAGGAGAGTCATTTATTTTATTTTTGTCTAAGACCAAAACATTTCGAGAGCCGCAATATGCCCTTGTGGTCTAACCTAAAAAAAGAAATCTCCCTTGGTGGAACAGCGGTAAGTCTTTGGATTTACAACTCTAAAATCAGCTTTTCGATTCCACTTGGCGGACACAGTAGATAGCCCGAGAGCTGTACAAGTCTCCTTAAAGAGCCATAGGTTGCCGACCCCTAAATTAGACAATGGCTATGCAGTGTAGTTTCAACTGCAAAAGTCTCTATCGTAAGGTTATCATGTGAAAGGTACACTAATATCCTCTGCTTGCTTTCCATTAGTCACCTAGAGCACGAGTACGAGTTTCCCAGCGCCTGTTTCAATAGTCCTATCGCAAATAAATACTTAGGCGACTTGACCGGTATGAACTGGCATGCATACTCGTTTAATAATCCAGTTGCTTAAGGTATGTGACGGTTGAACAGATATGACGTGAGAGCAACCTCTGTACACGTGACTTGTGTTGATTTTCCAGACGGAGTATCTTCTTGGTTATGTACTGTTGTCTTGGGCACGTCGATAGCTTTTGCCACTGGTATTTCAAGACGCTGCACAATGCCTACCACAGCTGGAGTACAACTTGTTGCAAGTCTCTTTCTGGAGGTCCTGGTGTCCCAATTTCAGCCATATTCCTTTGTTTTCCAATACCATTAAGTACAAGGGATATCCCCGATCTAAATATATCTTTAAGATATGAGTGTATGAATATTTTGCTTCGAGAAAGGGTCTTTACATACACTTCCAAGAGTGATCTCTTTTCGCTGATATTGCACTACCTACGAGTGCCAAACAAAGTCAAGATGTAGTTCTGGTACATTCCATTCTATCTTGACATTACATTGGCTGTGATTCTCATTGGACTTGCTGGCTTTATATTCAAAATTATTTTAATATAACATGCATAACCCTGTATAACAAATAAATCATCTTTCACTGAAAAGGAAAATCAACAAAACAACGAAACTACTAAACAAGCAACTGAGGTAAAACTGAAAATATAATATCTAACGAAGAATTTTACTGCATTCCTAGACTGGCAAAATCCTCTGCTATGTATAGCAGGTTCGCCTACTCAAGCCTCATCAGGACATCTTGGGTCAGCAAACCAAAGAAATACTCTGGCCTCTTACATTGGTAATTTGTATATAATATTTATGGGGATTTTGAGTCTTTTTTTGGTAGCCTAAATTAATTTAGGTGTTTTAATAATATTATGGTATTGCATCCAATTCATTACACGGTATTATACAGCTGATCAACTTTGAAATGATTTGATATATATTTTGTGTATGTATGTTACAGATGTGTATTGTTTTCACCAAAGGTAAAATTGAAAATACAATATAATTAGGTGCAATGCCCTAATATTACTCACACGCCTAAATTAACTTATGCTACTATTTGGTAGGTTAAAAAGGACCGAAAACCTTATAAGTATTACAGGTAATTGGGGTTAACCTCTTCAAAGTTTTTGTTCTTACTCTATGTCTTTCTCAGTAGGCCTGGCATGGTGTGGTGGTTAGGACACTCAACTAACAATCTGCAGGTTGCGGAATCAAAATCATTCAACGAACGTGTCCGCCCTTTCAGTTATAGGAGCGTTATAATGTAACAGTCAATCCCATTATTGGTTGGTATAGAGTAGCTCAAGAGTTGGCAGTGGGTAGTGTTGAGTATCTGCCTTCTCTCATGTCGATCACTTCCAAATTAGGGACACCTAGCACAGATAACCCTCGAGTAACTTTGCGTGAAATTCAACAAATAAACACTCCGAGTATATGAGTGAGTGCACAATGTTGGCAAGGAGTCGCTGAATTTTCAAGTCCTGCATTGGCAATAGCCAATATGAAAAGTGAATTTGCATATCAGACAGGCGGTAGCACTGGCTATGTACGGATGGCTCGGATTGTTCATCGAAATGGTATTTTGAATATCCATTAAATAGGTCATCAGAACTTTACAATACTATACAGTGTTTCCTTTTATTACAATATCTATGTAGTGACAGAATTACAAGTTCTGGGAATGTCTGTAAATATCATAGCAAAATTTTGAATTTCTTGTTCTTTCTTCTTCTGCTTCTTTTTTTTACACGACAATTCAAAAGCCAAAACAATGGTGTCAACCAAATTCGCTGAGGTGACATAGTTTCAAACAGAGTAGTAATTAAAAAAGTGTAAACGATGTTATCATTACCTCTTGAAGTTAGCTTTCTTACAGAAATTTGGTGTTACCGTAAGCTTAAGTACAGGGTGAAACAGGAATTACCAGCCAATA